AACCTCCTAAAAGAGGCCTTCCCACCCACCCAGCTGAAACAGCACACTTTCTCACTCTCTCTTCCCTTATCTTGATACATTTTTCATCAAGCTTATCCCTGATTGCTGTCAAATATATATTTGTGTCCCTCTAAAACAGCGTTTTTCAACTCTTTTTTATCTCACAGCCCCCTTGAACCTATGGTTAAACTTCTGGCACACTTAGATTATGTTGATCCAGAAAAAAAAAAAAAAAGAGTAAAAACAAAAGAATATACTTACTGTGCTTTGAACTTCTTTTGAAAATAGTTTAAGAAATGATTTTTTAAATTTCCATGGCACACCTAAGACCCTCTCCGTGCACACCAGTGTTCCACAGCAACGCACACTGCTCTAGAATGCGACTTCTACACACTGAGTGCTTGGGAATCTGGACCTGGAAGCACCAGGGTATTATGCAGGACACACACGCACTTGATGAATAGGTGCTGGGTGGACAAACCAATCAATGACAGTACACTCAAAGAGGATTGTAACAGACATCTATCCCCCGCAGCCACCTCTGCAAGTCCCCTGCCTCACATACCTGGACTCAGCCATCCCACTACTGCTATTCTTACCCTAACCCACTTCTCTATGACTGTCAGGGCCAGAATGAGGCTTCAAATGTGTAAATCAAATGACATCATCTCCCTCTTACCACCCTCCTGTGGTGCCCCATTGTGAAATAAAATCCACACTCCCTACACGCCCTGCGTGATTGGGCCCTACCCGCCTCTCCTACTTCAGCTCCGACTGCCCTGCCTTCCTTCTGCCCTCCTAGTATGCCAGGCTCTTTACCAAGGGCTTGTGTAACTCTGTTTCCTCTGCTTTGGGTGCTCTCCCCACCCACTCTGCTTTATTCCTGAATGACTGGCTCCTTCCTATCATCAAGGTCTCAGATTCAGAGAATTTTATACAAATGTGTGCCCTCTTACATTTTACTTTCCTCACAGTGCTTATCATGGTCTGAAATCCCCTGTGTACTTCTTTACCTTGCACGTCCACTCCTATTCCTCCCCCCACCACCTCCCCACACGCACACATGAACAAGAATGAAGCTCCATGAGCTCCGAGTCCTTGTCTGTCTATTCACCTCTGTACTTGGTCCCCAGAGTAGCTCCTGGCACCCAGTAAGTGCTCAATAAAGACACACTCAGGGATGACGGCCTGAGTGGATGAATGCAGAGTGCTGTGGGAACACTGTGGAATGAGGAACAAACTGCTATCATTTTATTTTTACAAAGTCATGGCATGGAAATACGTTTGATAATTGGAGTCTTTGTCTTCCATGGAATGGAAGTGCACTTTGAGATTTTTCTTAAAAGGTGACTTTTCAATGAAGCCTCTCCTGACACACCTATCTAAATATGTTCTCCTTTTACTTTCCTTTAACTTCCATCATACTTTGTAATTAATTACATATTGATTTGTGGACTTGTCTGTTTAATCTTTGCTTTCTCAAGTAAACCTCATGAGCATCAGATAAAGTATCATGTCTTTCTGCTTATCACTGTCTCCCACAGGCTTGACACCATGCCAGACACAAGGTAAGTCCAATCATCTAGAGCAGCGGGTTCTCAACCCGTGGGTCGCGACCCACAGGAACTATGTTAAAGGGCCGCGGCATTAGGAAGGTTGAGAACCACAGATTTAGAGGAATCAGTATTCACAGCACAGATTTGAAAAATCTTCCAAACAAGTGGGCAAAAAGAAAATTATATGTGTGTACCAACACATGCATTTATTTTAAAGCGGGAAACACAGTACACATTTTTAATGAAAAATTTAGATTTTCAAATTTTAGAACATAGTAGTAAACACATAATTCCAAAGTTCAGTATGTGTGAATGCAAAGAGCTGAGTCATGATCTTGGTTCTGACACTGACCTTCCCCGTGACCTGAGGTCAGTTACTCAGTTATACTGGGTCTCTGTTTAACCCTCATCCTTCGGCTGTAGTGTGAGAATTAACAAGCTAATATTTGCACAGTAGAAGAAAGGGCTTCTGCCACAAAGTCCTAAAGAAAACAAGAGAATAAAATACAATTTCCAAGCCCTAAATTCATGAGTTTTATTTAGTGAAATTCTGCTCACTGGTCTCCCTCTACACACCTGTTGCCTCAAGCCTGGGCCTCCGTGATTCTCATGGCACCATCTCCCTCTAGGCTCCCTCTCATACACCTTCTCACTCAACAGCTCCCGTGAGGCCTGCTCCAGGCAGGCTGTGCTCAGTGCTGGGAGTGATGCTGTCTCTCCTCCTTGACTAACCCCATTTATGTGAATAGTCAAATCTCCAACGTTAGTCCTAATGTCCTTGTCAGGCCTCAGTGCTTCCATTTCCAACCGCTTGATGCACTGCTTCAACTACCTTTCCTACATACACCTCCAAATTAACATGTTTGAAATGAAGTAGGTCGTTATTTCCTCTGACTGCCCTCTTCTTGGCCATAAGATTTCCATTTTCTCAGGCATCCAAGCTCAAAAACCTACAGTTATCTTTGGCCCCAATCTCTCCATAAATCCCACGTATCCAATCACCAAGCAAGTTATTTGTTTCTTCACAAACAATAATCACTTCCTGTCACCTCCCTAGTATAGACTCAGCACTTTCTACCAAAGCAGTTGCAATTCCTTCATAACCAACAACTTATCTAAGGCCTTTCACCACGTTAAGTCTTTCTCTACATAGAAGATCTGCCATTCCTAAAATGGACTGGGATTAACATTCTCACCTTCAGCACGCTCATGGGATGCTCTTTCCTCAAGGATAAAGACTAGACTTTTCATTCCAGTGTTCAAAGTCATATAAAAACTGCCACCACCTACCATTTCAGGCACATGAGAAGGGACTAATGGACTCTCTGTTCTGGGCAGCCTGAGGGATGCACTGTCCCTGAAAGTCAAGTGCAGAAGCTCCCTGCAGGCCGTCCCCAGCTGTTTGCCCAATGGGAACCTTACTTTTACTCTTTGTACTTCCTGTTCCTCATTTCCTTTTTAAATTCAGATCACAAAGATACTTGCCTTGAAGCAAAGGATTAAATAAATCTTTCCTGTAAAGAGCTTGGCACAGTACTGAGCCCTGGAGTGTTCACTAAGTAACAGCAGCCAGGGTGATGATTTTGCCACATGCCCAAGGATGGTCTACTCCCTTCCTCAGACGTCCCTTTGATCTGAAATCCCTTTCCCTTTATCTACTTTTACTTGAATCTTAAAGAATCTTCAAAGGCATAGTTCAAATTCAACTTCCTCTGTGAAATTCTGCCACTGTGCATTGATTCCTTGTCTCACACACACATTTACTAATCTTACCACAGATTTAATGTTTAGATCTAGCTTGCTTGTTAACTTTTCGAACTATCTTCTTGATTTTAATTAGATTGTAAGTTGCCTGAGGGCAAAAGCTTTGTCAAAAATAGTACTAGAGGGCCCTGAGTCTGGTGGCTCAGGCCTATAATCCTAGCACTCTGGGAGGCTGAGGTGGGTGGATTGCTTGAGTTTAGGAATTCAAGACAGCCTGAGTAAGAGCAAGACTCTGTCTCCACGAAGTAGCTGGGCATTGTGGGGGGCGACTGTAGTCCCAGATACTGGGGAGGCTAAGGCAAGAGAATCACTTGAGCCCAAGTGTTTGAGGTTGCTATTAGCAGCGATGCCAGGGCACTCTACCAAGGGTGATAAAGTGAGACTGTGTCTCAAAAAAAAAAAAGTACTAGAGTCTCAGCAAACGAATGGTTAATAAATGTCTGACAATAATTATTGTCCTGAATTCATTACTACTCACTCACACAAAATTACTCTACTTTTTTCCAGTAATTTCACATAATAGGACAAAAAAAAGTGGGTGGGGTAGAGATCTAAATCATTGGGAAACAGTACCATTGCCCAGTAATCACTTATTTTACAGAACACCAAAGTAAGAATGTCATTTAGTTAGCCCAGGATGTGGTAGGAGATGACAAATCCGTTCTGATCACAACTTGACAGGCAATTCAATTGAATGAAAAGAAAGAGAAGCCTCAGTCAGAAAGATTTGCCAGAGCAAATCCTGAGCAATACTCAAGCATGATGTGAAATGCATCCCCATAAGGGAGTACCGACTAACTATACAAATAAGTTAAGAAAGTGCCATGATGGGGCACAGTTGCTCATGTCTGTGATCCTAGCACTCTAGGAGGTGGAAGAAGGAGGATGGCTTGAGCTCGGAAGTTGCAGACCTGCCTGAGCAAGATCAAGACCAGTCTCTACCAAGAATGGAAAAATAAGGTGGGTGAGGTGGTCCACACGATATCCCCAGACATTTGGAAGGTTGTAGCTGGAGAATCACTTAAGCCCAGGAGTTTGAATTTGCAGTGAGCTACAGTGGATGAACCCACTGCACTCTAGTCAGGGCAACAGAGTCAGCCTCTGTCTCCAAAAAGGAAAAAGAAATTATCTATTACTGGTAAATGCTTGCCACAGTTCCCACAAAATAGGTATTTAATAAATGTTTACTGAATTAGCAAATAATGAATTAATGATAGATGAAAAATACCCTGAGGGGGAACTAAATATTTGGAACGATTCTCAGTCTTTTAGAGGAATATAACTGAGGATTGCCACTCTCTTACCCAAATTTCCCTTTTAGTTTTTATCAGAGATTGAAAACAAGACTGGACAGCCCACTGATGTGATCTAATATAGTGGTTCCTCTAAGAACCATACAACACATAAAACTATAGTTTTATAGCTTAAATTTTAAACACGATATAAATTGTATCAGGTGTACATACAAGGAAAAACATTTTGAAGTCTACTTTCTAAAAATGTCAGCTCTCTTTTAGGATCTTAATTAAAATATTAAAGTTCTGGTGTTATTTCACATAATTGCTTATATGCCACAAGGCAGCTAAGTCTTATGTCTTTGAACTTAATTGCAACCCAAAGGACAGTCTCTCTGTCTCATAAAAATATAGAACACTAATGAGGAAAGCATCTGATACTTACACTCCCTTTAGACTTTCTGGATCCTACAATAGGAGGTAGTGAAGAAGCTTTCTGACTGCGGAAACAAATTGTAATTTAGAAATTTGAACATCACTTACAAACAATATACAATGCAAGATTAACTGTCGTCCCAACTTGTCATTTCAGCCTAGAAGTCAACTATGTACAGCCATTGGTGTTTCACAGAAGGTACCATATACTGTCTCAAAAGACTACCACAAAATTCCTTAATTTCATTCCAAAACATTTTTAATGTTTTCCACTATTTTAATCAATACTTACAAATAAACTTGTAGTACCACCCTAATTTTTATTCAAATGCCCCAATTTTCTATTTATCATATCATTTAGCATATCAAAAAAATAATTTCCCAGTCTGAGTAATGATTTTGCCAGATTGGATTAAAAACAATAAATTTCCATTGTTTTTATAATGTCTACCTCTGATAGGAAAGTAGAGATTTAGGCAAACACTGGTATTTACATTAAGCTTTTAAAACAGTCATTATCACCAAATAATACAGAAAATTATTTTAGACTGTGAAAATAAATTGTTTCCCAGGTATTATACATAGTGAGGGTAAGATGGAGTCTGTCAGGCTGGGGCAGACATGACACAGCTGGTCTGGTCGGCTTAGGTCCTGCCTGACCTTCACCTCCTGTCTCCCATTCTTACTATTTTATAAATTTAGCTCCTACCTTGAAGATGCCGATCTTGAGCAGTTTAGGTGGACTGATTTAGGAGATTAACTTTTGAATGGAAATGTTGTTTTGGGTCAGGAGTTACACTAATTATTGTTTACTATGGCTCATGGGTTTTGCTGATTATTGTTTGAGATAAGGGTTAAAACTTGAACTTAAATGTATAAAGCTGTAATGTTGGAAATAGAATATCAGAACAGTTTTTGGAGAGGCAGTCTTGCTGTTCTCTAGAATCCCGGCCTTCTGACAAAGTTTTGTAAACCTATACCCATCTCTGCATATTGGCTGACAGGGACAGGCAGCCAGACCTCTTCATCCAATAACATCTGTATTATTAGGGAAAGACTCATCTTAAAACTCAACTGAACTGCTCCAAAAACAGGACACATTTGGGTAGCACCTGTAGCTCAGGGAGTAGGATGCCGGTCCCATATACCAAAGGTGGTGGGTTTGAACCCAGCCCTGGCTAAAACTAAAACAACAACAAAAAATAAATAAATAAAATAAACAAAAATAGGACACATATACAAAGGGACATTTTACTGATTTATATGAGAAAAGCCAACATAAGTTACAGTTTTTATTATGATCAAGGAGACACGGTAGCTCACAGCAGGTTAATGTGGTGTTGCTTAGCAGAGATTGTTAAAGGACTTGATTTCATGGATGGGTAAGGACAGTTAGCAGTAAGTTGCCTAGTAAACAGTTCTAAAGTGCTAGAAAACCACATGCTGTTACATAGTTCAAACAGCAACCCTGAAATTCCATTTCCTTTCTTACTCATTTAGAAACTCTCAGCCAGCTTCTTCATCAAGCTACACAAATTAGGAATTAAATGAAAAAAAACCATTGGTGACATTCTGCTTTATCTCTGCAGAAAACAACCACAAAAAGTGAGTTTCCATTAGCAGAGTGGTCACAGAATCTCTGTGAATAGAAACAGAGATGGTTCCACAGGCGCCATGCACATGCAGGGAAGTCTTGTATTGGGGGCCAGAGCTCTGCATGAGTCTCTGCAATGCCTCTTCTTGGCTGGAACAAAGCATCTTGAGCAAATGTACGAGGACAGACAATTAAATTCATGAACTCATCCCAGAAAAATTGCTACATACCTCATTGCTGAATATAACTACGGTCACCTTGGGAAGCTATGCACTGATTAATAGTATAATCCTTAAAATCTTGCATGTATTAGTTATATACCCAGCCTCTCTGCTTACTGGCACAAGTGGAATTATACTGTTTTATGTTTTACAGTTATTATTCTAACAAAAGGAGTGGAAAATATTATGGGTTTTTTAATACCCTTGGATATTTCTTTCCAAACCAACTGAAAAATTATTTGGTCTAGTAATTGTTAAGACACTAAAACTTTTAATAACATTGGCTACAGAAAAGTTCATTGGCCTGTATCTTCTTTGCAATAATAAATCTTTGCATTTACTATTAAGTTTAGTGCATGGTTAAAATACAAATAAACATGACGTAGTTTTTCATAAATTTCCCCAAATTATATTTCTGTGCAATAGCTCTCAATCTCTTATCACGACAATAAAAACAAAGATCCATACACATCGTATATGCTTCCATTCTAAGTGATAAATAAGATTATCAATTACACAAAATATAATGGGAGTCAGCAAAATTACTTTAAGTGATAACTAAAGCATGAGAACTGAATAAATAAGGACCAAGACTTACCCAAAAGGCCTTCTCATCGTTGACTTGTCAAAAAGTAATTCACTATAAGGCAATTTCTTAAACTTATCTCTGCCAACAGCCACATAAAACTGCCCATTCTCCAGCTCTGCCCCACTCTCAACAAGTTTTCCTTCTAAAGTATAAAGTCTGTAAAAATATAAATGCCAACACATTTTAACAGTTAGAATTTTATCAAGCATTTAAAGAGAGAACTGCTTAAAACTACGAAGCAAATAAAAACATTCTGTTCTTAATTTGGTTCATGTGTTACTATTCTCATTTATTGAACAATAAAATGCCTCAAAGTCATTAGATTCCACTAAATTGCCCCTGTCATATTGTATATTGTAGATAACATGCACTGTAACTATCTAGCTGTACAGGGTTTCCCAGTGAGCCTGATGATATAGCATACAGATCCCCTGTTGCTTCCTTTCTAAGATTTTAGAGGGGAAAAATTAATTGTACAGAATATGGCTCTTTAAACAAACATAGGATTCCACTAGAGATGGAGTCTTCTATTTATAGTTTGTGATTTTTGTTTGTTTGTTTTATTTTAATAGAATCAGGGGGTACAAGTTGAATTCCATTATATGTATATATTTCACAGTGATGAGCTTGGGTGTGACTACTTTTAAAATTTATTTTCTTAGCGTAGTGGCCAAGTGGACAAGCTTTTGACTGACCAGTTTCTGTGTAAGGAGGGCCCTCAGCCAAAGCAGTACGTCCAAACACACACAGAACTGGGTCAGAGAAAATGGGGTGAGAGGGCAGGAGGTGAAAGAACCCATCGCCAGTGTTAATGATGCAGAACCGCATAGCATTCGTGCTTCTTTCTTTTTTTGCCGTCCCTCCTAAGCAAGAGAGTGAACATTACATCTTCCTGGAATCGAGGGGTTTCACGAGAACCTTCCTTTACTGTAAAACTGCTGCGACAAACTATGGTTAACGTGTAACTTATTAAAAGAACAGTGATAATTTTACTAGACTATTTAAAGTAGCCACAGAATTGTTTTTTAAAGAACCAGAAAAAATAGACTATTAGAAAATCGAACCAGGGCAGTGCCTGTGGCCAAAAGGAGTAGGGCGCTGGCCCCATAAACCAGAGGTGGTGGGTTCAAACCTGGCCCCAGACAAAAACTGCAAAAAAAAAAGGAACCAGAAAGTGCAATTTTTGAAGGTTACAAACAAGAGTCAGTAACTGGAAGGATTTCAAGATTAACAAAAAAAAGGCTCAGTCTTCTTATATTACATAGTAAAAGTTGGTAATATCTGCAAATGCAAAAAAAAAATCCATTGACCTGTGGACATATTTACTGATTATATAAATGACCATATCATATGGAGATACGACAATAAAAAACGGCCACTGAAATTCCTGAAATGTATTTGTTTTTAGTTAGTATACAGTTCCTAAATTCTCTTGTTTTATGACATTGTACTTTTTCTACTCCTACCAGTCTAAATATCCACACTTCACCCAGATTTCAGTTTGGTTTGGTTTGGTTTGATTTTGCCTTGTCTATACCATGGTTTCCAACAGCACCACCTCTCTGATACTCTGGACCAGATCATTCCCTGATGGGGAGGTGGGGAGGCTGTGTTGCACACTGTAAGATGTTTAGCAGCACTCCTGGCCCCTACCCACTAGATGGTGGTAATAGCCACCCCCATCCCCAGAGTTGTGACTACCAAAAATGGCTCCAGTCTGCCAAATGTCCCTGAGGGACAAAATTGTGCCTAGTTCAGAACCACTGGCCTAAACTCAGAAATTCTCCTTTCATTTTCCTTCAAAATAGTTAGATCTGAATTAGGAGTTGCCTTGGTAGCTAGAAATTAAAAAGCAGCACACCTGGGCAGTGCCTGTGGCTCAAAGGAGTAAGGCACTGGCCCCATATGCCGGCGGTGGTGGGTTCAAACCCAGCCACGGCCAAAAACACTGCAAAAAAAAAAAAAAAAAAAAAGCAGCACACCTGTGAACTCCGGAAATAGCCAGGATTTCACTGGTTCCCTCTGCAGATAGGTAAAAAGTACTGAATCAATTCTAACCCATGATTTTAGCCTCTTTTTATGCATAGTATAACTCTTATTGATCTATTTTCATCTCTTGCAACAAACACAAGAATCATAAACAGAGAGTCAATTTTTTATGGGATATATACAGATGCATAGGGAGGATCCAACTATAAGCCTCACCAACATCCTGTTAAAGGAAAGTGGGTATGTCCCACATGAGCAACAACTAAACTTACTCAGATCTGGCATCACGTTAAGAATTAACTTTCTCTGGCTCGACACCCATAGCACAGTGGTTACAGCGCCAGCCACATACACTGAGGGTGGTGGGTTCAAACCTGGCCCAGGACAGCTGAACAACAATGGCAACTGTGACAAAAAAATAAATAAATAACCAAGCATTGTGATGGGTGCCTGTAGTCCCAGCTGCTTGGGAGACTGAGGCAGGAGAATCACTTAAACCCAAGAGTTTGCTGTGAGCTGTGATGCTACAGTACTCCACTGAGGGTAACATAGTGAGACTCTGTCTCAAAAAAAAAAAAAAAGAATAAACTTTCTCTAAATATTCAAGTGTTTGGCCAACATAACCCAATTTCATTTCTATATTTGTACTGGCATATATTTAATTGTGTGAATTTGTTCATATTAATGTATGCATGAATAGGTGTATCTGGGTATGAAATCATCTGTATATATCCTTGTGTGCTTTAAAATATTTATTGGGTGAGTTTATCTATACTGTGTGTAGGTCAAAAGTCAAAGCCATACATCTAAAAAAAATATATTAAAATCTGCCTTCACTTCTGACACCAAATTAAAATCCAGAAAAATGAAAAGTTTAAATAAATTTAAAAGTACAAAGTAAAAACATAGGAGAATATTTTTCTAATCAGATTAAGAAAGATCTAAGCCAGATATAAAACTTGATGATCATAAAGAAAGGTTGAAAAATTACATCAAAATTCAAGATTTTTATATGTAAAGAAAATATAAACTAGAAAAATACTTAAAACTCACATCAGAAAATTTCCCCAATATGTAAAGAGTACCTATAAATCAATAATACAAATGTTCAAAGTCCCTGACAGATAATTCATACAAAATGGAATATAGATATGTGGCATTTAGAGAGCAGCTTAGTAGTTAAGAATACAGGCTCTGTAGGCAGACTGCCGCCTAGGCTTGAATCCCAGCCTTGCTACTCAGAACCTACGTGACTTTTGTGCACATAACTTTCCCCCTTGTGTATCACATTTTTATGTCTTATTAAAAGAGAATAATAACACTACCATCTCACAGGGGCCCTGAGTGAACTAAACTAAAACTGTAAAGCACTTAGAATAATGATTGGAACATAAGAAATAATCAATGGACGTTGTATATCAAATAAATAAAAATCAAAAAAGAAGAAAATACTATTTTTATTGAACATGAGTGAAAAAACAAAATAGCTTACTAGTCTTAAAGTATAGATAAAAGGGCCTGGAAAACAGACCCTCTCATGAACTTTTGGTGAGAGTTGAAAAGAGTATAAATTCTTTGGGGGGCAATCTGCAGCATCGATCAAAATTCTAAATAGATTTGTCGCTTACCACAGCAATTCAATTTCTTAACTTTAGTCTCCTAATAAACACTGCTTATATACAAAGACATATATATGTAAAAGTAAAAGATTGGAAATGACCTAAATTCCCATCAAGAGGAGACTGTTAAAATAAATTAGGATATAACCACAGAAAGGAATACTTTTAGACATTAAAAATAACAAAACAGACCTCTTTGTGCTGGCAAGAATAATCACTGAGATTTGTTGTTACTGGAAAAAAGCAAGGGATGTGTGTATTTATTTATACACATGTATTCCTTTTTATGTTTTTTAAAAAATAAAAGAGACATGTGTTTACATATACATAGAATATTTCTGGAATGGGGCAAAAAAGTAGTAGGAAAAAGGATCGGGAGAGGGAGACTAAGGCAGGAGAAATACTTTTTATTTATACCCTATTTGGATTTTTTCTTACCACCTGTAAAGTATTACTTTCAATTAAAACAAATCTCAATAGATATGAAACTCTATAAAGTAATATATGTAAATATATACATTAAACTGGAAGACACAATAGTCAGTCATTTGAGAACTTGTTTTATCATGTGTGTGAGAATATTTATATATGAAAACATAAGAATTCAAAAGGAAGCATGACTTCTACCAGTGCAGTGTGTTAGAGAGACTGGGGTAAGATAGGTATCCAGAAAACTCTTGATAGCATTTCAAATATTTACGTGTGTGTGTGTGTGTGTGTGTGTATACTTATATACACTCTTAATACATCATGCAAATGTACATTTTATTTGTAACCCTCTTACCTAAAGAAAAATAAATAAGTCAGCTTCTATCAAGGGAGAATTTCACAGGCTTCACAATTTAGCACCATTACATGGATCTTCAGTTATAGAAGGTAAAAAATATGCTTCTGATTTCTTGTATTTAGACATCCCCACTTAATTATCCTCTCTAACCTGCCTCCTCCTTAAACCCACTAAATACTTCTTGATATCTCTCTCTCTCTCTCTTTTTTTTAACCATAGGCAAATAGTTTAGACTATCAAATAATCATAAATATCTCCTGGGGTGGGGGAACAAAAGGACATTCATTAAGTTAAGAGGCTGGCTCATTCAAAAAAAGGCATTCTCAGTTGCTAAAGTAATCATGATGCTGGCCTATTTACTCTAAATCAAAAGAATAAAAATAAGTTAATATTTGTTGATGTGCTACTGTTTTAAGCTCTTTGTGTGGATTGCCCCAGGAGGTAGGTGCTATCATATACAGGGTGCAAAAAAGTATAAATGCGTTTTATAAAAGGAAGAAACTGCGTGACAAATAACAATATACTCTAACAAAACAATAACAAAAGATGAATACAGATCATGTTCAAGCACCTCTTATAATTGCAGAAGTCAAATGTGACTTGAGTATTACAATTTTAAGACAGTTTTTTTCCTTGCTTAAAATATAATATATACTTTTTTTTGGCCCCTGTGTACGTCCATCCTACAGATAAAGAAGCCGAGGCAGGCGAGCCTAAGTAGTAAGCCAAAATTCAAATCCAGTGACTAATGACTCCAGAGCCTCCTGGAAAAATCTCCAACAATTCCCAACACCCTTGCAGGAAGTTTGCCTTGCCATACCTGTGGACAGCCCCACTCCTCAGAGTTATTTTTTCTGTGACCATTTGGAGCACATGATCCCACTGAGTCAAGGCTTTTCTGGGGATGAGAAGGCGAGAAGCTGGGTTTATGAGGTCTCCGTTTGCAATCAAGCTGGAAAAAAAGGAGTCAAACCATTTGAAACAGTTATGCCTGTAAAACTACAGAACAAATTCCACACCCAAAGGAAACCATCAAACCAAATTTTAACTTGAAACATAGAGGGTTCCAACTTACAAGATAGTGCAAGGTTCCTGAAGTGATTTTCTAAAGCGAGCTGACACATTGATCTTGCTGTGGATTACTGGTTTTACCTTTAAAAGCAAAGAAAAAAAAAAAATATATATATATATATATAAACCACTAAGCTTGTATTAGCTTTTTTTGGCCTGAGGAAAATCTACAGATTTCCCCGGAACAGACTGAGACTTGCTATGCCTTTGTAAAAATCTGCGCTTTTTCCCCACTTGTATAAATACTTTGTGCTCACCCTCTATCAATATTATACGCCCATAACAAAGCTCTCAAAAAAAGAAAAACTCCCTATAATCCCTGGGCATACTATTCATGATCTGTACCAAAAACAGACTACTTTGGGACACTATAAAATTTCAGGCAATTTTTAAACAATGCTTCAAACAATAAAAGAATCCTATAAAATTCTGAGCTCTGTCACAGAGCACGCTGTTTGGTCATCTCTCCTTTTCCATTCTTATTGCACCTGCTTGACCCCCACCAGGTGCTGACTTCACCCTATCCTCTTGAGACTGACTTTGTCACCTGGCACAGTGGCTCATGCCTGTAATCCTCAGACCTTGGGAAGCTGAGGCAGGTGGATTGCTAGAGCTCTGGGGTTCACAGACCAGCCCGAGCAAGAGTGAGACTCCATCTCTACTAAAAACAGAAAAACTAGCCAGCTACTGTGGGGGCGTCTGTTGTCCCAGCTACTTGAGAGGCTGAGACTAAGACAAGAAGATTGCTTGAGGTTACTGTGAGCTATGACACCACAGCACTCTACCCAGGGCCACCAAGTGAGACTCAATCTAAAAAAAAAAAAAAAAAAAAAATTAACCTCGTCTACTTTTTCCGGGCCTCACTTCCTCCCCTAACCACTGGACACAATTACATGCACCCTGAATTTCCCCAGTCCTTGCATCTGGTAGTTCTGATCAACTTTTGCTTCCAGGGTCAGGCAGTTGTTAGAATCACACATGGTCCCACAGGGAGCCTTCCCCTGAGACCATGTTTTGGCATAGGCTGGACCTCAGTACTGCTCAGCCAGCCCTCCATGCCTCTCAAATCAATTCCTTTTTTCCATTTTCTACAATGACTGTCAAAATCCTTACCTCTCATGCTAAGCACTAATGTCCCACTCCAAACACATACACATCCACACAGGTAATTTTATTGGCATCCAAACTTCAAGAAAATAACAACCACCAGGCATGAAGCCCCTAAACCTTCCTTCTCCCCAAAGGCATCTCATCTACATCTTCATCACCTTTCTCCTTTTCTGCCTGTCTCAGATCTACATCCCTTTATGAAGCCAATCCCCCCATTGTGATACCATCCCCTGCTGTCTCTACTTGTTCCGTTAATCCTAAGACCCTCCACCTCCATCTTCAGTGTCTTCAATTCCTCCCTTAACCAATGACCCTCTCACGTACATCCTCCCCATCTCTCTCCCTCTTATTCACATTCCTACGTCCTCCAGCCCTACTCTCCCTTCAGTCTTCTGCTATCTGGTTTCCACCTTTACCGCTGGAAGATAAAGCCCTACTCTTAAGTATGCCGGCAAGAACCCCGAAAGCCAAGCACTGTTAATTCAGTGCCCTCAGCTTCTACCAACGCTCCCTCCACCCAGATCCTTATGCACTGCCATGGAACCAACCTACTCCCCTCCACTCCCAAAACTTCCCTGCATGCACTCCTTGCCTTTCCTCATCTTGCTCCTCTGCCTAAAAGGCCCTCTCCATTTTCTACCTGTTCTGGAATTCCACCTGTTCACCCAGGTCCAACTCAGTTATCACCAATCCTTCACAGCTCCTTCCTCTTTAGCTGTCTGTCTCAAACTGTGCCTGCTACTATGGTATTGATAACAGCACTTTAGAGGTTTTTTCCCCATGATTTGAAAGGAAAACTTACAAGCAAAAGGAACTGATTGACTTAGGAAAAAAACAAGCTGACATTTATTGCACTATGTTTCATGTTAAGCATTATACTAAGATAGCTCCATGCTCTATATATCCTTTAACCATCAAAACAATATCCTGAAGTGTGATCCCTATAGCCGCATTCTATATGGAGAAACTGAGGCTTAATTCATTAATCTGCCTAAAGTCACATTATAAGGAACAGAGTTTTTAGTGAACCCACATCAATGAACCTCTGACTATTTGCTATGCACCTTGCTGGTAATTTTAGAACTCAAATACTGGCCCTAAATCATTTATGGAACTCTCTCTTCTGTAAAATCATGCCATCTTTGAGAGAAACAAGAAATTTTCTGTGACTGTCCAGTGCTAAAACAGCACTTAGCAAAACTGCTAGTTATAAATGTTTATTGAAATTTAATTAAGATGCTCCAACTTAGAGCAAAATATTAAAAATTAATCATAATCACTTTGATCAGTTGTTTGTTTGTTTGTTTTTGAGAATAAGTCTCACTTTGTCACCCTCAAGTAGACTTCCATGGCCTCAGAGCTCACAGCAACCTCAAACTCCTGCACTCAAGCCATCCTCTTGCCTCAGCCTCCCAAGTAGCTGGGACTACAGGTGCCCCCCACAACACCTGGTTATTTTTTTTTTCTGGTCTCAAACTCATGAGCTCAGGCAATCCACCAGCCTCAGCCTCTCAGAGTGCTAGAATTACAGGTGTGAGCAATCGCACCTGGCCCACTTTGACCATTTTAAACCCACAGGTTCTTGGTCTTAAATTAACATTGACAGTGATGTTGACATTTTAAAAAATGTTTAACAGGTGATACATACAACCTAAACAAAATGCAACTAATTAAAAGGGGCATGTAGGTGGCACCCATAGCTCAGTGAGTAGGGCACCAGCCACATACACCAAGACCAGCAGGTTCAAACCCAACCCAGGCCAGTCAAAACAACGACAACTGCAACTAAAACAAAAAAAAAGCCAGGCATTGTGGTGGATACCTGTGGTCCCAGCTACTTGGGAGGCTGAAGCAGGAGAATCACTTAAACCTAGGAGTTTGAGATTGCTGTGAGCTATGACACCATAGCGCTCTAACCAGGTCAACAGCTTGAGACTGTGTCTTAAAAAAATAAATAAATAAGAAAATAAAAGGGGCACATAGTCTTTCCTACTCCTGTTCCCTAAACACCAAGCCACAACCAGAGGTATCAATATTCTTCAAAGACAGTCTGTGTATATATGCATATAATCTTACATAGATATCTTATGCAGATAATTTTTAAGTACATCTAATACCCTGCTATACCTATTCTTCCTTATCTTGCTTTTTTTTAATTTAATAATGTATCATGGAGATTGTTTCAAACCGGTATTTAGAGCAAGGGTTGCTTCATTTTTTCACACCACCTATCTATATTCCATTCCACAAAAGTGTGATAATTTACTTGACCTATCCCTAAATGGCCCTTTTCATTGCTTCCCAATGTTTTGCTATTGCAAATAATGGCACAGTGGATTTCCTTGCAAATGTGTATTTGAATGAATATGTAAATATCTCTGTAGAATAAATTATTAGAATTGGGTTTGCCAAAACAAAGAGTAAGCAATTTTTTTCGATTAATAGAATTTATTGTTAAGCTTCTTCTTGATAAACCCCAAGAGTCCCTTGATACATTTAGTTCATAGTGTGGCATAAAAAAATAGATTTGACAACACAGTGGAAAAAGAAAGTACATTTGGCAAACAAGGAATGCAGTTTTAAGGCCAGGGCTGGGGTTCATGAAGTCTGTGGATGACTGAAAATCCCTCTTACTCTTAGGTCTTAGGATGATTTAACTGCAAATGAGTTTTTGTCCATGTGAAAGAAAGACCTTTTTGATTCTACACCTCAACTAACAGTTTCTTCCTCTCAAAATCCTCCTTACCTCTTAAACATAACTGTCCTGAAAGCTGCTGCCCACATCCCTGGTTCTCTACTGACCTTCCCTGCCTCATTTTGTTTTTCTCCTAGCACCATCAGTATCTGACATATTATAGATTTTACTTATTTGATTTTTAATTGCCTATTCTCAGTGTCACTTTTTAGTTAACCTCTACGATACACCTAGTGTGTCACCTCGCAATACACTGAGCTCAGACTTCAGACTCAGCTGCTGTGGTTTCAGTGGGTGTCTGTCATATCCACCTCAATGACATAAAAACCTTGTGGAATTATTGAATTAAACGTGAAGGTAAATAAGTTATATAAACAAGTAACTTCAAATCTTGTTCAGTTGCCTAAAATATGCTATTTTGCTTACAGATACCTATAAACAACATATAGAAATATATGATAGCATAAGATTATTTTAAAAATTATATTATTATATATTATATAATATATAACCATATTATTACATATAAACTATTGCTCAAGTTAAATCAAACCATCTGTTTTGAATAATAATTTTCCTCATTTAGCACAACAAAAGTATTCTCCAAATGTTCATGATTAATCGTGAATTGAAGGCTAATCTTAAATATACATTTCCTTGAGTTACTATAATTAAAATATTTTAATATTTTATTAAAATAATAATTAAATTGTTATTTTCAGATATACCAATAAAATAATCTGAAAAAAACTACTTGAAGTAATATATCTGAATTGTGAAAATAAACAAATATAGACCATTGTATAAAACAATTAGTACTTAAAAAAAATACTAGGTATAATTTAAAATGCATTTTTCTAACTTAAAATTTTTCTAACTTAAAATGCATTTTAAATCACGCACATACACAAAAATTAAATCAAACCAACTGCATATGAGGGGAGCTTTTCCAGAGCCCTAGTCGGGGATAAAATGTTGGTCAATTGGTGATTATCTAGAATCAGTAAAGTATGGCTTTTGATAATGGGAAATATGATGATAAATTTTATTAATTTTCTTATTTCTTATACACTTTCTCTAGCCCTTTGAAAATAGCAATATTTCAAATTTGAGAATAATGTTAAAAATTAACACACCAAGTTAACAAAAGGACAGACACCCAGAGGTACTCTCACTCAGAGTCCTGTGTACCCAGGGATGGGTCTCACTAGTTAGCAGGCTGACTAGTGTTAGTTGTGAAACCAAATCAAATGAAAAAGTTTCAATGCAAAACTCA